AGTGGGAAGCAGCCGCATGGCACAGGGAAACCGGCTTGGTTCTTTGTGGCTGTCTGGAGGGGTGGGATAGGGAGGGTGGGAGGGAGGGAGACAAAGAGGGAAGGGATATGGGAACATATGTATATGTATAACTGATTCACTCTGTTATAAAGCAGAAACTAACACACCATTGTAAAGCAATTATACCCCAATAAAGATGTTAAAAAAATAAAAATAAAAATAAAAAGAATACTTTGAAACCACTGACACATATGTAAAGTGTCCTGTCGCTTCTAGTCAGATGACTACCACTCTTGCTTTTGCAGAGGTCCAGCTGGAGTAAGAGCCCAAGCCCTGGAGAATACTTTGAAACCACTGACACATATGTAAAGTGTCCTGTCGCTTCTAGTCAGATGACTACCACTCTTGCTTTTGCAGAGGTCCAGCTGGAGTAAGAGCCCAAGCCCTGGATAGAGATGGAAATCTCGTAGAAGATTTTGTATTTGATGGAGGAGTTGGGGATATTGGAAATCGCATTCTTCACGTGAGAAATGCACCTTCCCCTGCTGCCACTTCTTCCCTTGCAATTTCTGGAATGATTGCAGATGAAGTACAACAGAGATTTAAATTGTAAATAATGAAAGGAGCTAGGTATGCATTTTAATCTCCACATTCAGCAACAAGAATGCACTAACTACATTCTTTAAGTTTCATTTAAGAAAAATGGTTTAAAATGTCATTTTAGATAACCACTGAATTTTTACAATTATGTAATGCAGAAATAATGATTTTTTAAAGTCCATGCTCTTTAAAAAGGTACAGTTGTATCTGTCCTGAATTCTTGACTTTGTTAATGACCTGTCCTCACCAACCATGATCTAGAGATTTGGCTTTTTTGGAATTTCTGGGAACTCTAGCATGAAAAAGTGGTTATTCCCCTAACTTTTTGGCTTTATAATATCTAAGCTTTTTTGTCTTTCCTAGACAAGAAAATATATTGTAGGTTGCAAACCTTTTAATTTTGAAGAGTCATAGAAAAGCTCACATCATTTAGAGCAACAGTATTTGTATTTGGGAATTTAAAGTTGTTGATTCAGGGCTTCTCTGGTGGCGCAGTGGTTGAGAGTCCGTCTGTCGATGCAGGGCACGTAGGTTTGTGCCCTGGTCCGGGAAGATCCCACATGCCGCGAAGCAGCTGGGCCCGTGAGCCATGGCCGCTGAGCCTGCGCGTCCGGAGCCTGTGCTCCGCAACGGGAGAGGCCACAACAGTCAGAGGACTGCGAACCGCAAAAAAAAAAAAAAAAAAAAACAATAAAGTTGTTGATTCAAATACATGAAATTTCACATTTTGAAGTAGTTTGAATAAGATTCTGTCTTATCTACATTTGTACGAAATAACTTTGCAAAAGAAACTCAAAGCATTTATTATTCCCAGTTTCTTTATAATTCCCTTGGTCTGGTGTCATTCCTAAATCTAAACAGCAGTCCACAATGAGTATTTTGCTTACTCTTCAGTCTTCTGTGGTTGAGAAACTAAAAGAACTTAGAATCCTGACACTGACATACAGAACTTTGTAATTTAAAATAGTATTTACCTCTTATATCTCTGTTCTTCAGTCATACCAAGGTTCTCAGATGTTGGCCAAGATCACTAATGATTCATGCCTACTTGACTTTTCCAGAATCCTATAAACCTTTATGAGGATATTTCTTCATTTTGGGGAAATACCTAATTTTGAGGCATTCACTTTTGTACACCGCAAAAGTGCCTTACAATCATGTGTATTTCATGAGTATTTTAAATTGTTGCCCAGTGCCATACTGTATACTATCTACTATATATATGTGTGTGTGTGTGGTATCTGTTGAAATGATTCTTGCAATTCAGAATGTTGGAAAATAGAAATAGAAATGAAAATATGGTATAATATGGGGAAACTTATTGCAGAGCCACCATTTAGGTGAGAAATTTTCATCCATTCCCTCACATATGCTCTCTCTGGATTAATCTTCCAGTCTTCATTTTTTCTTTCCTCTCATCTCTCCAAAACTGTGTGATGGGTGAGTCAGAAAGAAGAGCATTTTGGTTGACAGCAAAACTTACCAGTTTTCTTCCTTTTCACTTCAAGCCAATGATTACATTGATTGAGCTACCTCATCAATTAATTTGAAAGGCTACACATCATCAGCTCATGTTACAGAATAGCACATCTCAGGTGAATAGATTAGACAGTTCTTCAGCACTTGGGATGAGAATACTGAAAGCAGTTGGAAATTATTCACAGAGGAAACAAGCCCTAATGGTTCTTCATAACAACTGATTCTTCCAAGAAATGTGATACACAGGGTATTTTCTCTTTCATTGCAAGACTATGAAGAGATGGAAAATATTACAATTCTCTATTTCATTAACAGTAAGATTGCATATACACTAAGCTGTGAAAGACTGAAGTTATAAAAATAACTACCCTAATTAAAGCAACCCCCATTCCATTTGGGTCTTTACTATACCCCCAAAAATACAAGTGAAAAAATGATTGAAAGCGTTTTGAATGTGTAGATTATTCTATTTGTAAAATGTTTTTATTTATGTCAATAGAGTTTTGTTGTGGAATAATGCTATAATATTTAAAAGTTTTGTGTATTTCTAAGAGAGAAGAATTGTATATTAATATTAAAAATATTTTAATGAGCTTTGGTGTTGTGAACATAATTTTTAGTTTCATAAAAACTCTGATTCAGTACTTACCTGGGAGGGGATATACCATGATCATGAAGGTGGTTTTCCCAGGGTGCAGCTCATGCATTGCGCTCCAGATGTGCTGACCCCTGCAATTTCCCCAAATGTGGGAAACTTGGCTGCATGATTTGTGGTACTGGGGAACTGTGTTTGAGCTTTCCCCTATTTTTTTCTGTTTTATCAATAGAGATCCTTCAAGACCGTTTTCTAGGGGTCCAGTGGTTTGTGTTTATCTAATACTGAAGAGAACCTTTAGTGTGTCATCCATTTAATGTGGGTACTGGATGGTGGTTAATATGACACAGGGATCTGGAGAAATAAGGATTTTTAAAAAACTCTGATTCATATAAATTTTGAGCTATCAATAGGCTTTAAATAGCAGCCAATCAAAAAAAAAGCTTGTATTTGTATATAATGTAAAAATGAGGTAGAGTAGTTTATATTTTGGTTAAAAAGTGGAACACTAGGGGCTTCCCTGGTGGCGCAGTGGTTAAGAATCTGCCTGCCAATGCAGGGGACACAGGTTCGATCCCTGGTCCAGGAAGATCCCACATGCTGCGGAGCAACTAAGCCCGTGAGCTGCAACCACTGAAGCCCACGCACCTGGAGCCTGTGCTCCGCAACAAGAGAAGCCACCGCAATGAGAAGCACGAGCACCGCAACGAAATGTGACCCCCACTCGCTGCAGCTAGAGAAAGCCTGCGTGCAGCAATGAAGACCCAACACAGCCAAAAAAAAAAAAAAAAAAAGTGGAGCACTTTCCTACTTACAAAAAATGACTTTCCATTTGGTAGTGGTAGCAATATCTGGCTGACTTCAGTGTCATCCTCATACCCAGAGTACCAGGGAACATTATTTCTATTCCATAGTAGAATGTATATAACATACCAATACACAGTGCTTTTTCCATGGGGAGGAGGGCAATAAGTAAATCTTTTGGAATTTCATACAAAATTATTGTTCCTCTTGGGAAGACATTTTTGGTATGCTACCTCTTACATGGGGTTGGGGTTCTGGGCATGAGGCTCCCATATGGGTTATAGGGCAAATGATCTATCTGAGTGCCTGCTCCAATTTCTTTCCAGCAGGTGGACTGTTAAGAGGACCAGAGTTAGCTACAGCAACGGACCATGAAAGTGAGTGACAACAACATTTATTGTTTCCTGTGGCATTGCTTTGGTTTGCTGCTGACTGGCAGCACTTGTAGCTTTAAATAAATGGAGGAAATAGGAGAGAGTAAATGGAAGAAATGTTAAGTCCTTCTTGAAAATGTTTTTCAGTGAGAGAATTTTTTTTTTTTTTTTTTGCCGTACGCAGACCTCTCACTCTTGTGGCCTCTCCCGTTGCGGAGCACAGGCTCCGGACGCGCAGGCTCAGCGGCCATGGCTCACGGGCCCAGCCGCTCCGCGGCATGTGGGATCTTCCTGGACCCGGGCACGAACCCGTGTCCCCCGCATCGGCTGGCGGACTCTCAACCACTGCGCCACCAGGGAAGCCCTGAGAGAATATTAGTGGTAAAATTTTTACTGCCTTTTAAAATTTGAGATGTGCTTCGGTCATTCAACTTATCTCCTTAAAGCCATTCTAAATTCTAAAAAGACAAGTAAAATTACAATGAGGTATCACCTCACACCGGTCAGAATGGCCAACACCAAAAAGTCTACAAATAACAAATGCAGGAGAGGGTGTGGAGAAATAGGATCCCTCCTACACTGTTGGTGGGAATGTAAATTGGTGCAGCCACTATGGAGAACAGTATGGAGGTTCCTTAAAAAACTAAAAATAGAGCTACCATATGATCCAGCAACCCTACTCCTGGGCTTATATCCAGAGAAAACCATAATTCGAAAAGATACATGCACCCCAATGTTCAATGCATCACTATTTACAATAGCCAAGAGATGGAAGCAACCTAAATGTCCACCAACAGAAAAATGGATAAAGAAGATGTCGTATATATATACAATGGAATGTTAGCCATAAAAAAGAATGAAATAATGCCACTTGCAGCAACATGGATGGACCTAGAGATTATCACACTAAGTGAAGTAAGCCAGACAGAGAAAGACCAATATCATATGATACTGCTTATATGTGGAATCTAAAAGAAAAACAAAAAAGACACAAATGAACTTACTTCCAAAACAGAAAGAGACAGACAGAAAACAAACTTATGGTTACTAAAGGGAAAAGGGGGTGGGGGGAGGGATAAATTGGGAGACTGGGATTAACGTATACACATTACTATGTATAAAATAGATAACCTACGAGGACCTACTGTATAGCACAGGGAACTGTGCTCAATATTATGTAATAATGTATAAGGGAAAATAATCTTAAAAAGAATATATATATGTGTGTGTGTGTGTGTGTGTGTGTGTAACTGAATCGCCGTGCTGTACAACTGAAACTTATACAACATTGTAAATGAACTATACTTCAATAAAAAAATTTAAAAATAAATTCTAAAGACAAGTAAAATTACTATCAAATTCTTAGTATGATAGCATATTAATTTTAACTTAAATTTATGATTGAGTTTTTGTTATATATCCATAGGCCCTCTCTCTCATGGTATCAGTGTGTTTAATACTTCTATTTTTCAACACTTGAAGCATGTGTTTCTAATGAGGTTGGAGTTTTTCATTTAAAAAAACAGCTTTTAATTAATGTTTTGAATAAGTACAACATTCATATAGCTGAAAATTCAAAAGTCATAAAAATGTACACAGTGGCAAGTCTCCCTCTCTCCTCTAGCCCCCCAGTTCTCATCCCTGAGGCAACAAAACTTATCAATATCCTGTGCAGCCTTGCAGAAATATTTATATATAATAAAATACTGTCTCCATTTTTTTTTACACAAGTGGTAGCATACTCTGCATACTGTATTATACATCCTGCTCTTTTCGCTTTGCGGTGTATCTTGGAGAATGTTCAAGTGGCCTGAACACAGTGGCCTGGTTCTTTTTAAATGACTTTATAGGTTCCATTCTCTGGATTTATTATTTGTTGAACCAGTCCCTTATTCCTACTGATGATTATTTAAATTGTTTAT